CAAAGTTCTTCTGTTTCTCTCAAAATTTGGAACCTGGATTAAGATATGATCCAGTTACACACATTCTCCAAACTTTGCAGTTATTGTATTTGAAGGCTCTGGTAGTGAAACAGTCAATACGCACTATTACAACAGCGAATTTATATTTGCGTAGCGCCTTTTACATCAGGAGGATGTCCCAAGGTGCTGGGACGTCCACATGTAACAGTATTATTACACCTATACTCATGATTAAGATAGAAGCTAGATAACACGTAGAGTCCTGTAGTGTAGAAGTTAGTGCATTCTCCTCACAAGTGAGAGGATGCGGGTTCGATTCCCGGCACGGCGAAACCTTAGGCAAGTTTCCTTACTCCACACGCCTCTGTTTACCTTGCAGTAAGTAGGAACCCACTTGTTAGTCGATTGGTGGATCGCTTTCCTGGGATAATAATCCATCCAAAGAAAAATAAATTTTGGTCATTCAATCCATGGCCATTTGTGGGACACTGCTGTGCCCAATTGGCTGCTGCATTTCATCCACAAAACAGTCAATCCACTTTACAGCATATTCTGTGAAGCACTTTGAGACATCTCAACAATGTGATAAGGCGCTATATCAAATGCAAGAATTATTATTATTATTAACCCAAGGCATTTTTCTTCACTAAACTACTGGTTTATTCACAAGGAAGTAGATGGAAACAAAAGCAAGACAGTCACTCCCATGCAGCTCTTGTGTATCTCCACACAGCTGGGTAAAAAGCAGTGATTACAAACCCAAGAGAAGGGATCAGCTGGGAATAACATTTGGCACAGCAATAAACAGGCAGAGACTTCTTTAAAAAACACAAATACAAACAAAACAAGTGGTTTATAGAGTGCAAAATTGCAATAGGTTGTTCAAAACACTAAAAAAAAACGATAACTTTATTCTCTTCACAGCAGGAAAGGGGCAATGTTAATGGTGTAAGGTAGTAAAGGGTTAATGAGGTTCCTACAGGGAGGGACGGGGTCCCAGGTGCTCAGGGCTGATAGGATGGGAGAAATCCCATGGGGGAAGAGATGGGGGGCTATAAAAGGGAGGAGTAATAGTGGGAGTGTCTGAGTGTTAGTCTGAGATTCTGATAAAGGAACATGGACTGGAAACCTTGAGTCACTTTCCACTCTCCATAGATGCTGCCTGACCTGCTGAGTGTTCTCAGCCACTTGTGGGGGTTTTTTGAGCGTTGGAGTTTGGTTAACAACACCAACAAACTCTTAACACTGAAAACCCGGACCCTCAGGGAGTGACACAAGGATTAAAATAGGGTAAGATCATTCTATTTGTTCCTGGGGTCTCTCCCAAGCGTTTGAGGCCCAGTAGTTACGTATTATAGTTTAGCTCGTTTTTTTTGCAAAGTCTTTTCCCGAAAGCTGGAATAAATTTACGTTCAATTATGTAAGTTTAATAAACACAAAAAAACACAGAGAAGTCTCGAGTGTAGTTGGTGAGATGGTTTTAACCGGCCAAGTATCTTAGACAAAATAGAGATGTAAATCACGTTACAGTGGACACCCAAAAAAATTTAACCTACCCATCAGGATTTGACAGGAGTCTCTATTTTTTTACATTCTCAAGTACATTTCTGAAAATACATGCATTAATGTAGGAAAATATCATCAGTGAACCATTTTGTCCAATTACAAATCACACAGTACCTCAATACTGTATCCTAAGCTCCAAGAATCAACCCGGCTTGTGAATTATTCTAAATAGCACATTTCAAATGGTTTACAATCTAACAACCACAAAAAGCATTGGCCTTCATATATACATTCAAGTTCAGTGTGAAATTTTTTTTTCTCATCCCATTAAATTTTTCTCCTAAAAGATACGAGTCCTGTGAGTTCACATTGCCCTTCAGTACTTTATCTAAATGATCACTCCTCATGTAAGAACCTTGCTGGCAAGCTAGTTAATCATGGGAAGCATGCAGTCAAAACCAAACCTATTATCCAATATTCACACATGTTTAATTTGCTGTTTGATGGGAACCCCAGCTTCCCCCCCACCCTTCTACCCAGGGACACTAAAGCTACTTGTAGCACCTCAACTACATGAGCAAACGCAGACCTTCTTGGCTTGTATGGCATATTTCCATCAGGTCAGTGAACCCATAAGCTATTGAAGAATCCTTTGACATGTATAAATAAACAAATTGAGTGGGCAATCAGATACAAACTGCACTCGCACACTGTTATCTTTCAGTCTTTCCCCTCCTACTCAATTGAGCTTCCACCCCCAAGTCAGGTGCACAGCCAGCAGTGTCAAGCGCTTTGAAACGTCCTTTGACGTGAAAGGCACTCTATAAATGCAATCTTGTTGTGAAAGGCGTTACATAAATGTAAATTGTAAGAATATTATAATAGCAGTTGTTCCCATCAATATTCAGATTCACAGGAATTTGACTATCTTCTTACAAACAGCAGGAACCATTCACTATTTTGACTTAGATCCCTTTTGCAGTTAATAGGTTTTTAAAAAATATCAAAACAAATTATGAATTCATGACCTGGGATCAGCAGTTCAAATCGATTAGACAGCAATAGCACACACAGGTTTACAATGGTGTTGACGTTGCCAAGCTGACTCAAAAGTATACTGAATTTACTCAAGCACAACCCCAACACTATTAAAAAGGAGAGACAGGCTCATTATCCTCTTTTCACAAGTCACATAACATCTGAAAATTCAAGAATCAACCAACCAACTCAGTAACCATTCAACCATACATTCAATAAAACTTACTTTGCACGAGAACTGAAATAACTACCCAGGGAATTAAACACACAGCAATGAATTTTTGACAATTTTTATACAGGCATTTAAGGGCTCAGTGAATAAAGACACTGCTTGGGTATAGTAATTAATTATGCAGAGGAAAGGGTTGCCCGTTTGATTCCAAGTGTGCACTGAATTAGCTGATCCAACGTAAGTGGCACCCTACAATTTGATTCAGCAGCCTGGATATAATAGCAGCTAATGTTCGTTAGAGTGACCTCTCCTGGAAAATCTGTTTGTAGATGTTGGAATGATAAGATTGCCTCGATTTTGAGTTAATAGGCAGACAATAGTCCCAGTCTAGTGCTCTATTGATACTGTACTGTTAATATAGGCCGTTTCTGCATTGAATTAGGTTATGTCTACCTATAAATCTACTAAAGATTTGAATTTCCCTTCCAGACTTTTTTGCATGATTATTTATTCTGTTAAAGTGAGATGCACAACAAAACCAACTCAGGAGTCAGTTTCAGGTCTATAAATTAAATCATGCATCAACTATGGTTTGTAATGCAGCCCATTTCAAATAAATTTAATTAAAAATAGCTTTAAAAAAGGCATCCAGCTGTCCCCTGGACCACCTATAACTTGTGCTACCACCTTAAGAATATTACAAAAGAACTAAATTGGCATTCATCACTGGTTCAGTTTTATCTACCATGGTGAAAACAAGATTAGAGCAGGAATACAAATCCTATTTGCCTCTTCTGGTTGCTCTACTGATGGAAGAGATGACAAATTACTCCAGCGTTGTAAATATGCATCAACTCACAAATAAGAGCGTCCCATTTTAGCAAAGCACAAGAGAACCCCCGGCATCTGTAGAACCATACCCCATTAAATGACCAATGAAAATCAGCAAAAAGGGAAAGAGGCAAGAAAGGAAACACATTTGCACTTATATGACATCTTTCACATTGGAAGAACATCTAAAAGAACTTGGCATATATGAAGTGGAAGGGAGGTTAGGGGATAGGGGGAAAATGGTCAAAGGCACAATGGGACTGGCCTTTAAATCAGTTCTGAAAGCAGAGTGGGAAACAATGGTCAAGGGGCAAATTAATGAAAGCTCTTCCAACAATTGCAGGACATCAAGCAAACCAGAGTTGGTAGAGTGAATATCAGTGGTAGGATGGGACAAGGCCATAGAGACATTTGAAGGTTAGGACAAGGATCTTAAAATTGATCCGCTGGGGGTTGGGGAAGATTGTCTTGCAAAGCCGAGTGCAGGAGAGAAACCAGCTGCGCAGTTGTAGATGATCTGGAGCTTTTGAAGGACAGTGATGGGAAGGACAGCAAGCAGGACATTGGAGAAGTTGAAATGACAAAGGCATGGATGAGGGCTTTAGCTGTGCTGGGGATGAGATAGTGATGCAAGCAGGCTTTGCTGTAGAGATGGAGGAAAGTGGACTTGGTCAAAACCTAAATAAAAGGCTTAGAGAGCCGAGGGGCAAATAAAACGAAAGATCCCACAGAGATCCCACAAGTTTAGTGCGAGCAACCAGGAAGGTTGTTATAGTTTGGTGTCTTAGGTGAGGAATCGAGCAGTGATTGTCAATATTGCATTTGTTGGTGACTTGTTTTTACAAAGTGTAAGAAACACCACTGGATCAAATAATGCATACATAAGCAATGACCATAAATGCAGCAAACATATAGCACAGTGACCCAACTGCTGAGAATAAAAGAAAAAAACGTCAACAAGAAACACCCCAGATTAACAAGAAAAAAATGAACTCTAATAAAAGTGAATCAAACGAGATGGAGCACAAGTCAAAAAAAAATCACACAGGATCTGTGAGCAACTGCTGGTTGATGTCTATGGGAACCGTATGTGCCCCAACCAATGCCAAATGGAAATTAGCAAAAAGGGGAGGGGGGATAAGAGGAAAGAAAAGCAACACATTTGCACTGATATAGCACCTTTCACATTGCAAGAACATCTAAAATCGTTTCGCCCACAAAATACACAGTCAATCCACATAAAAATATTCTGTGATGCGCTTTGAGAAGCCTCAACGAGGTGATAAGGCGCTACATTAAATAATCCTTGGATTATTATTATTATTATTATATTATTAAAGAGCTTAAAGAGGGGAAAAGGGAAATAATCACAAGAAGAGACAACTTTATTGTGGACATGTGAAAGTTGGTGAGGGGAAGCTGGTGGGTGAGCTGTGCTCAGCCTCTGTCTTACCTGCGACAGGAGCCTGGGGTTGGCACAGCCGAAGAGAGACGAGCTGGAGCTGAAGCTGATGGCCCCTCGGCGGCTCAGGACATGCTTGGGCACCGGCCGGTCGAGAGGCAGCACCGGCAACTGGCACTGGTAACATACTGCCATTGACCCGGCCAGGGGGCCTCGGGGAAGGGAGAGGGAGAAACGGGGAGACTCCCCCTCCCCTGGGGAGATCCAGTTCCAGAAAGTCCCACAAATTTTGCATTTGAATCAGACCAGGAACATTAGCCAATCACACTGCTTAGTTGTGCGCACGCTCCTTTGAGTGCTGAATGAGGCTGAAGACAGAAATGTACGGATTGGCAAATTTTCATACGCACACGTGACAACAGTGGCAATACTTTTCACTGAAGAGGACATTAATTCGAAATGAGTTTATCAAAGAAGCGGAAGGTGGTCCCTGAAAGCCGAATATTCAATAAAGAATGGAATCAATTTTTTTTTTACCAGTGTGGGTGAAAAAGCTGTGTGCTTAATTTGCAAAGAAAGTATGGCAGTGCTCAAAGATCTTAACTTGAATCGCCATTTTGAGAGTAAACATGCTTGCAAATATAAGAACATTTCTGCCAAACAAAAAGGCAAGAAAGCTCATGAGATGGTTGTTTGAATTCAAAAAGAGCAAAGCATTTTCACAAAACAATTTGCGTCCCAGAATGAGATTACAAGGGTGAGTTACGTTATTGCACACAAAATCGCCAAGAACAGCAAACCTTTCTCTGAAGGAGAATTTATAAAGGAATGTATGGTTGACTCTGCCTCGATTTTATGCCTAGACAAGAAAAACCAGTTCAAGAACATTAGCTTATCAAGGCGAACTATTGCGAGACATGTTGAGGATATCTCTGAGAACCTGTATCTGCAGTTACAAAATAAAGTAAGCAATTTTGCATGTTTTTCACTGGCACTCGATGAGACTTGTGATGTCAAAGACACAGCCCATTTGATAATTTTTATTCAAGTTATCACCAAACATTTTGAGCTCACTTAAGAATTGGCATCAATGCAGTCAATGAAAGATGCGACAACTGGAGAAGACTTTTTGGAGGCAGTAAATAAGTGTAACTTAAAATTAGGAGGGAATGGAAAAATTGGTGAATGTGACCACTGATGGAAGCCTAAATCTGACAGGCAAAAATGTTGGGTTACTGAAAAGAATTCAAGATCAAGTCAAAGAAACAAATCCAGAACAGAATATTGTTTTTCTACAGTACATTATCCACCAAGAGGTCCTCTGTAAGAGTGATCTAAAACTAACAACAACAACAAAATTACATCTATAGAGCGCCTTTTACGTCGGGAGGATGTCCCAATGTGCTGAACAGTCAGGTGTCGGGGCCAGAGCATGGAGCAGGGGTGATATAGGGGTAAGGGAAGGCAGAAAGGTGGGAGGGCGACCAAAGGCACGGTCGAAGAGAAGGGTCTTGAGACTGGCTTTGAAAGAGGCAAGGGAGGAAGCGAGGCTAAGGGACCGTAGGATGGAGTTCCAGAGTGTGGGGGCAGAGAGGCTGAAAGCCCGGCCACCAATGGTAGGGCATGTCGGGAGGGAGACATGGAGCAGATCGGAGCCCACCGAATGGAGGGAGCGGGCAGGTTCGTAGGGAGTCAGCAGGTCAGAGAGGTAGGCGGGGGCAAGGCCATGGATGACCTTAAACTCGATTCTCTGGGGGATGGGGAGTTGGGCGAGGGTGGGAGTGATGGGGTCGCGGAGCCTGGTGCGTGAGAGTACACGAGCTGCAGAGTTTTGGATGAGTTGGGAAGGCCGATGAGGAGGGAGTTTCTGTAATTGAGCCTTGATATGACAAATGTGTGGGTGAGGATTTCGGCAGCCTGAGGGGTGAAGCAATGGCGGAGATTGGCAATGTTGCAGAGGTGGTTGTAGGCAGTGCCAGTCATGGCGGGGATGTGGGGAAGAAAGGACAGTTCAGGGTCGAACAAGACAATGGTGTGGGCACAGTTACAAAAGTGGTCAACTACATTCGAGCAAGAGGATTAAACCACAGGCAATTTGTAACTCTGCTTGAGGAATTGGAATCCAAGCACACGGATTACACAAATTATTACACAAATTATTACACAAATGTAAGATGGCTTAGTTTAGGAAAGGTCTTGAAAGGTGTGTGCAAA